ACTATATGTTAAGGCGTAAACGTAGTCTAAATACATTAAGAAAAGTATCGAATATGGCAGGAGTCAGGGCTCGAAATAGAGAAAAAATACGGCCTGCCAGTCTAAATTTTTTTGGCAGGTGAAATAAGTTTTAGCCTGCCATTTTTATTCATTGAACTGCCAAAATAGCGATGTCCCATATGAGTCATATTGTAAAAATCAATGTTTTCATGATATGTAATTTTATTGTTTTTAAACTTGTCTATTTTACTACAGTAAACTTGGATTTACATTTCAAATATAAACGTATTTAGTCAACTGAATGATCTAGTATATATGAGTTGTGGTAAGCAAATGAAACTATATATCTATAGAATTTCACCTGCCAGTTTTTTTACTTTGGCAGTTCAAATTTGTTTTTGCCTGCCATTTCTAAAATCTGGCCTGCTTTTGGCCATTGGCAGCCCGCTATTTCGAGCCTTGGGCACCGTAGAAACACTTAGTATATTAGCTTTTTTCAACAAGAAATAAAATAGTAAAAACTTCTTTGAATTATTACAAATGATTGTTACCTCTTCCTGTTTTCGTTTTAACACAAGCTCTCGTTGTCGTTTCTCCGACTCCATATTCTTGATTTGTATTTCACGTTTTCTACTTTCTTTCTTGAGCTGAGAGATCTGTCTTTCTCGTTCCGCCTCGCGTTTCTTGTTCTTAGCAATCTCTTCTTTCATCTGTCGCATCAGTTTCACTTTGGTTTTCTTGAGCTCGTCCAGATCTCGAGTAAGGCCCTTCAGTTGCATCTCGTTTTGAGTCTGAAGGAACATTCGTTGCAATTAATAAAATAAACAAAGAAACTAAATGTTTTCTAAATCTAATATTTTCTTTCTAGAAGAAGAGTAAGAGCTATCCTTGAACCTAACTTTATTTATACTGGATAGTTACATCAGTTCTAAACTGTTCTTCCTAGAGGTTCAGTAAGGATCATCTCTTATTGATCCAGTGTTACTACAGGGGGAAACCTATACTAAACTAACTTTATTTATATTGGATAGCTCTCTCAGTTCTAAGCTGTTCGCCCTAGAGGTCCAGTAAGGATCATCTCTTATTGATCCAGTGTTACTACAGGAGGAAACCTAAACTAAACTAACTTTATTTATACTGGATAGTTCTATCAGTTCTGAACTGTTCTTCCTAGAGGTGAGTAAGAATCATCTCTTATTATTCCAGTGTTACTACAGGAGGAAACCTAAACTAAATTAACTTTATTTATACTGGATAGTTCTATCAGTTCTGAACTGTTCTTCCTAGAGGTTCAGTAAGAATAATCTCTTATTAATTCAGTATTACTACAGGAGGAAACCTAAACTAAACTAACTTTATTTATACTGGATAGCTCTATCAGTTCTAAACTGTTCTTCCTAAAAGACCAATAAAAGTCAACTCATCAAAAACGCAAGTCAAACTCACTCATCTCGCAAACGTCTGAGATGAATGACATATACCCTAACTACAAATCTTACCTTAGTTCGCATAAGTCTATTATGCTCTTTTTTCGCCGACTGCAACTTCTTCAGTTCATCCTTAAAATTGTTAATCTTTTTCTCGTAATCAGACTTGACTTTCTGACTCTGTTGTGCGGCTTCCTTGTCATGTTCATGGATCGTGTCCAGTACTCTGTCGCGCTCCGTCTCAGTCTCCTTAATTTTTCGCGCGAGCAAGCTCAGTTTTTCCTCATAATGCAGTTTCATGTTGTTGAGACGTTTTTGACTGTTTTCCAGTTCTTCGATAAGTTTCTGCTTGATACTGATTTCCGTTGACAGATCGGCAAGGTCCTCGCGAAGTAATTCGGTCTCTAAATGAAGCAATCAAAGCTGTACAGAGAAGCGTTTGTGTGAGGAGTTTTAGGAGCTGTTCATATGAGCCGGATGAATCGTGTCCGAAATGTTTTTCCTGAACAACTTTATACTGTAAATCATTTGAACAACTTAATACTGTAACTCATTTGAACAACTTTATACTGTAACCCATTTGAACAACTTTATACTGTAACTGTAAATCGTTTGAACAACAACTTTATGCTGTTACTGGAATCAACTTTGAAATGACATTTTGGACGTTTATCAAAGCCGTGCTAGGAGCTTTATTATTATATATTATCATCCCGATTAATCGGGCCAGACCAGCTCCATATGAATTGCTCCTAACTTTAGAGCCAGGGATAGATTTACTAGGGGGGGAGGGGGTACACACCCCTCCAAAGGGGGTGTTTTCTAATTTGATTGATAAATATTCTGGAGCTTGACAATTAATAATTTTGCACAAAATACATAGTTTGGGAGCACCAATTAGTCGTTTCAAATTAATTTAAAATTCAAATTCAGGCTCAAATTCAAATTCAATTTCAAATTGAAAGCCATCTTGTACCATTATTCTCTTCCCGTTCGTCTCGCTCAACTTCTTCATTGCCATCTTCGCTTTCTGATGAAGAACTTTCCATCTTATCTTCTTCATTCTAAAACACAACAAACATTAAGCTGACCATTTAAACTTAAATCATTTTAAAAAACAAAAAGCTATTTGCCTAAACTCTCTTGATAAATAATGCATATTTATGTTGGCTGCCTGTTATTTTTTATGCTGGTCGTATTGTAGCAATAACTGAGGATTTCTATTGACTAGAAGTATGGGTAGGGGGAAGACAAAGGAAGCAACTTGCTCATGAGCGGCCCAGGAGACATTTCGCCACAGGGCCAGGCAAATCTATAGGCGGCACTGTTTCTATATTTCCCGAGCGCTCGAGAGAAGGTACGACATTGACAAAAAATAAAACGTTGCAGTTTGGAAAATCAATATTTCGAGCCAAACTCATAAGTCTTTCGTTTGAAAAGGCAATGTTTTGCGTGAAACATTACGAGTTTTCACCGACAAAGCAAGGTTCTAGCGAGGTTAAGTTCATACGGTGATAAACAACGACTTCTAGCCGTCGTACTACACAGGCTTCATTAATTTTGAAACAGTTGTGAATATTCCATAATAAATAATGCAGCGAAAAAGCTGCGAAGATGTTGTTACATAATTAATGTGGGGCGAAAATTTCCGTTAAGAAAGTCAGCTGTTTCATTCGAGATAGGCGGCTCCTAAATCACTTAGCCGTCAAAATTTTTGTGATTGTCGACAAATTTTGAATAGTGTGGTTCTCAAATGTTGATATTGTTCTTTACGATATGACCTGTTGCCATTGAGAAAAGTCGCGATACTAGATACGGGACTTTTTGGCGCCATATAAGACTAAATATGAACAGACGAAAGAAAGATGGAGACGTCAGTCGCGGTATATATAGACGAAGCCAGTTGTTGTTAAAAATTGAAAGCCTCAAAAATATAAGCAGACAATTACGACGTTTCAAGCGAAAGTCGTTCTTCGGGAAAGTTGAGGGGATGTAATATAGACAGATGAAAACACGGAATTGATTGAATGATCGTGGATAAACGACGCTTGTTGATTACAAGTTCGACATGAGGGTTTGATATTTTTGTTTTACTATCGTGAACAGTATTTTAAGCTAAGTTTGAACCATCAGAAAACATTTCCAATCCTTTTCAGGAATGATCGTTACTGGACCTCTAGGAAGAACAGTTTAGAACTGATAGAGCTCTCCATAATAAAGTTAGTTTAGTTTAGGTTTCCTCCTGTAGTAACACTGGATCAATAAGAGATGATCCTTACTAGACCTCTAGGAAGAACAGTTTAGAACTGATAGAGCTATCCAGTATAAATAAAGTTAGTTTAGTTTAGGTTTTCTCCTGTAGTAACACTGGATCAATAAGAGATGATCCTTACTGGACCTCTAGGAAGAACAGTTTAGAACTGATAGAGCTACCCAGTACAAAAAAAATTAGTTTACTGTCAATTTATGACTCATAAAAACATTCTCAAAAACTTGTCGTTCACGTATTCGGAAATGTTCAATCATATTCGCAAATTTTAATTTTTTCGGCAACACAATTAATATTCTTCAAGTCTGCCTCATTAAAAGTTAATATGCAATATATATATATACAGGACAGTACGGTGCCATGTCATTATAGAATAATGGCTATGACAGAGGTTCCTTAAATTGAAATTGAATGTTGCATCTGTCTTGCATAAATAAAAGTCATCCCATGCTAAACTAATTTTATTTATACTGGATAGCTCTATCAGTTCTAAACTGTTCTTCCTAGAGGTTCAGTAAGAATAATCTCTTATTAATTCAGTATTACTACAGGAGGAAACCAAAACTAAACTAACTTTATTTATACTGGATAGCTCTATCAGTTCTAAACTGTTCTTCCTAGAGGTCCAGTAAGGATCATCTCTTATTGATCCAGTGTTACTACAGGAGGAAACCTAA